AAAAAAAAATCCCCGCCCCAGGCAAAATAAAAGATCCCGGGGTCTTTCCGTCTAATTAATTAATTGAGGATTCTAAACCATCAAAATCAATTTCAACAAAACACCAAATATTAAACATTATCTCGTCAAACCATTCAAACAAGCCTTAAATTACAAGGCAATTAATTATGCTACCTTCGCACAGTCAATATACTGCGGCCATTTATAAAAACATAGAGCAGGTACTACCATGTAAAATTAACAACATGGAAATGTTTTTAATAAACAGACGGACAATTTATGAGAAATAATTGATACAATAAAAACTACTTATTTAACAATAAAATAATTACAAATTATTAACAAAAGTGATAAAAATAAACAACTAATAATACACCAATAAACCAAATTTTTAACAATATTATAAAAACTAAGTACTTTTAACCTATTTTTAAAAAAAACGCTTCCTAAGTATGTAAACTCCAAAGATATCAAAACCAACAGAGTAAAAATAAAAAATAATCACTAAACAGATATAAAATCTAACGATTAATTTATCACATCACCAGCAAAATTTATAAACATCTACTTGATAACATAAAATGCTAAACAACATTACTAGAAATCTAAATTTTTCGGTAAAAAAACAAATTTAATAAAATCAATTAAGCATGATGCAAAAGGCACAAAATCCTAAACAACAACAATAACAAAAAATTTGAAAACTTAATATAAAGGCCATTAACACTAAAGTTATCATATATTTACAAAATATACATTTTAAAGTTAAACTAAAAGACCAAACAACCTAAACCTTATATATACCAGCATCTCAAAACATATGATAAACTCCATAAGTATAATCCACATTTAAACAATAAATAAAATACTCATTATGATAAGCTACAGGTCTCAGAATTAAATTAGTAACAAATCTAGATAACCCATAAAAACCTATAACCTTATTACTTTTAGCAATAGACTCTCAAAGAATAAAAACAAAAAAACAACCACTAAACGCAGAAATAAAAGAACCTACAGTACATATAACATTTATTCATTTATAAGAACACTCATAAACACAAACCCGACGAGGCAAACCACACAAACCAAAATAATGCATAGGAAAAAAACACAAATTAAATCCAATTTTAGACACTATACAATTACATTGCAACAAACACTTTTTCAAACTTAAACCTGTAATAAGTGGCCACCATCAAATAAACATTATAATTATACTGATATAAGAACCCAACGACATAACATAATGAAAATGAGCAACTACAAATCAAGTATCATGTAAAACTTTATCAAGAACACAAGCAGAAAGTACAATACCTGTTACACCTCCAAAAGTAAACAAAACAATAAATGACAAAACTCATCATAAAACAGGATCTGACTTTCTAGTACCAGAGTTCAACAACATATAAAGTCAAGTAAAAACCTTTATACCTGTAGGCACACCAATAATCATAGTAACAGAACTAAAAAAAACAGCAGTCTTAACATCTAATCCAACAGTAAACATATGATGACCTCAAACACTACTACCTAGACAAACTATAGAAAACATAGCAAACAACAACCCATAAAAACCAAAAATATCAAAATTACCACCCAACCTAAGACAAACATGACTAATAATACCAAAACCAGGTAAAATAAGAACATACACCTCTGGATGACCAAAAAATCAAAACATATGTTGAAATAAAACAGGATCACCACCCCCTAACGGATCAAAAAAAGCTGATCCAAATTTACGATCAAACAAAAGCATAGTTATGGCAGCAGCCAAAACAGGAAGAGTTACCAACAAAAGAATTGCAGTAAATAAATAAGATCATAATACTATAGAAGTACGAGACATAATACTACTAGACAAAACACTATACAAGGTACAAATAAAGTTTATAGAACTAAAAATACTTGATACACCAGCTAAATGTAAAGAAAACATCAAAAAGTCAACACCCTTCCTACCTCTAAACATATAAGAAGATAAAGGAGGATAAAAAGTTCAACCTATACCAGCTCCTAAACACATTCTAATCAACAAAAAAAATATAGAAGGTATTAACAATCAAGCACTTAAAGCTTTCAAACGAGGTAAATTAAGATCCGACAAACCCCCCAACAAAGGCAAAAGATAATTACCAAAACCCCCTATCAAAACAGGCATTAAAAAAAAGAAAATCATAATTATACCATGTTTAGTAACCAAAAATTTATAACAATCCAAAGAAACAACTTTATAATAAGGCTCCAAAAAATTTATACGTATTAATAAACTAAAACTCAAACCAACAAAACCAGACCAAATTCCCAATAAAGTATACAACAAACCAACACGCTTATGATCAAGCGTAAAAATTCAATTAAGAGTCTTATAAAAAGACATAAAAAACATGAAATGATAAAAATCACTAAATGTTTTGAAAACATACAGTCTAAATTTAACTTAATCTCATAAAAGAGAAAGTCAAAACAAATTGACAAAAAATTATTAGCAGTAACTTTAAAATTTTCTCTAAATATTAATAACCTCAACGAACATAACCCATAACAACCTCTAACAAAAAACTAAAAACCAACATCAACAAAAACAAAAAATAATAAAAAAAATTATAATACAACACACCCTGAAAAGAAATATTAAGAAGCAATGATATCTCCAAATCAAACACGACAAAAAAAACCAACAAAGAAAAATAAGTAAAACTAAATGATTTAAACCTTAAAGAACCAGAAATAAAACCACACTCATAAGAACTAGACCAACTCTTATCAACAACAAAAACCAATTTAAACACACCAGAAACAAAAAAAATAATGACAAAAATCAAAAAAAAAAAA